AGCTTTGGTTTTTCAGGTGCTCTCAGTCACTAGGTAGAGCAAAAGATTCATATACTTGTTGCCTAAGGAGAAGGTTGCAGTTGAAGTCCATTCTGAGGCACCTTGGAAGAAAGACCTGGAAGATCTACTTCTGGAATATCAGCCATAGAAAACCTGAGGGAGAATTCTACTCCGATACACACGGGGACACAGTGAATCAGAACCAACTCAATTGTCAATGGCTTGTTTTCAGTTATGTAACCAGTCCCACTGAGGCTACTCTAGCTGTTCTCCCTGCATCCCACCTGTCTTTCATCTCCCATCTTCACCACTGAAATAATCTCCAAATAAGTCTCTGGTGTCCTCCAGTCAACACATCACTCACAACTGGAGTGGCCACTAATTCTGAGTACACTGTGTTCCTATTCTAGGTGCTGAAGAACTCACCCTCACACAGCACTTTCTGGTCCAGCACGAACAGAAAAGGCAATGCAAAACAAAACAAAAACTGTATATGAATCAGATACCTATTTTCAGGGAGTAAAACTGCGGTGAAATAAGGCAGAGCAGGCGGTAAGCTGTTACAGACACATGGTAACTGAAGCCTCTATGAAGAGGCGGATGCGTAACACTGGACAGTGACCCCCTCCTACAGTGTCCCTGTCTATCCCAGGAGTCAGCAAACTTTTGAGATGTAAGAGCCAATGCTGTTCCTCACAACAAATGTAAAAATTATTCAAGAGCCATAAATATATTCTTATAAATGAAATCATCCTTTTAAAAATTTTTAAATCAAACTATGGTAGTTTTATTTTGATTTCAAGGGAAAATGTATCCAGAGGTTGCGTCTACAACCGGCAGATCCTTTCATGTTTGAGCTGTGGCCCTACAGAGTAAAGCATAAAACAGTGAATAGTGAGTCGGAGACAGTGTCAAGTGGGAAAATCAATGTCGACCTCCTTGGGCATGTGACTAGAGACTGTCTTATCCAAAGAGAAGACGGGCCTTCTGATGCTCATCAAGAACCCTCTTCTTCCAGATCTTGGGCCCAAATCTTCACACATATTTCTGATCCAGTCCACAGCTCTCCACATTTCCTATGTGAGGCCGCTATGAGATCCTTCACCATGGCAACAACTACTTTTCCATACCTCGCCTTTTCCTTTCATACCTCTCAGGGTCTCCTCACACACCTTATCTTCCAAGGAAACCTCTTGACATGGATTCCTTTCTCACATTTCTCACTGTATCTACCTGCGCTAGAGTTCTATCTTTCCTTCAAAGATCGTCTCAAATACCAACTCCTAGAACTGTGAGCAGGCATGGTTCTCTGGCTCACAGGCATCTCTCCCTTCTTGCAACAGTTAGTTTTAAGTATCAACTTGGCTAGGCTATGGAGCTCAGGAGTTTGGTTAAACATTAGTTTAGACACTGTTGCAAAGTAGGAAATGTGATTAAATCAGAAAAACCTCTGCAAAGGGAGTACTGGGGGCCCAGTGGAGCCCTCATGGAGCTTTGGTTACTCCATGGGCTGCTAAGGGCAAGGTCAGCAGTTCCAACCACCAGCCACTCACTCCACAGGAGAAAGACAAGACTTTCTATTCCCATAAAGAGTTACAGTCTCGGGAAACCACAGGGGCAGATGGTAAGTCAGAATCGACTTGAATTTGGTTGAAGTTGCTGGTGGCATAGTGGGCTATGTATGCACTTAGCTGCTAACTGTTAAGGTCAGTGATTCAAATCAACTGGCCGCCATCATAGACTTAATGTAGCATTTCCAAAGCTGGAAGTCTTTATGGGAGCTGACAGTCTCAGAGAGGATGGTGGATTTGAACCACTGACCTTACAGTTAGCAGTCCAATACTTACCCATCAGTACCATTTACCAGCCCGTTACAACCACGAGTCTATTCCTTAAAATAAATCACTCTCTCCATATACATCCTGGTTCTGCTTCTGTGGAAAATGGAAGATACTCCCCAAACTCCCTTTCCAACCTTAAAAACCCCGTACACAGGGTCACCACGAGTTCCTCGATGACAACTAGTTTACTGGTTTTCATATTTTATCTTGCCAACTCAACATGTTTCATGAGTAAAGAAATGGCTTGCTTATATTTTATCTCCCATGTCTTCTAAAATATATACTCATTTTCATTCAAATACAGGATCTTCAAGAAGATTTACAATTTCAATTAAAAAAGCTCAAGGTAAAATAAAATCAAGTACCACTTGGTATGGTTCTAAGCACCAAGATGCTTAATGTAGTAAAACAAACTAACAAAAAAACCAGGAAAGTACACAAAATATGAAACCAGACTATGTTCCAACTTAAGCTCTTGCCACTAACTTGATGCAAACCTTACGGAAGTTACTTAACTTCTGAGCCTCAGTTTCCTCTTTGGTAAAATGGTGAGTATCATCTACCTCACAGTGTTGGTGTAAAAAATTATAAAATACACCTAGATGAAAGCCTAGCACACAGTAAGTGCTACATGCCAGCTGTCACTAAGTTTATTGTATTATTTCAAGAATCAATTTCTCTACTAGTAAATAGAAAATATATCAAGTCAGATAGCTCAGATCTTTCAACTCAAGGATTTCAAACCCAAGCACCACACAATCCTGAAGATGTCAGCAATCACTATGAGCTGGATAAGTAGAGGGAGGAAGAATAGAACTAGCAGAGACTAGAAAGAAGGAATAAGCATGGAACCCAAGAAAAACGATCTGGCTAGTCTGTGGTTCGGGCAGTGGTGTACAGTCCAGATATAATTTATGACTTTTAAAATAGACTAAAATTCTATTAATTATGTAAATCACATTAGTTATCACTTGTGTTTTTGAGGGAGTGGGAGAAAGAGTTCTAATGAGATGATTAGCCTCTGCTCTACCTAACAAGCTGCCTTGAGAGCTTCTCACACACTATACTGTCATCCCTGGGTATAGGGTAAGAGGGCAGATTTTTTTCTAGTACTTCCAATGGGCACTGAAATGCAGAGACACTCAAGTCCCTCACATAAAATGGCATCGACAACCCATTTACTTTATATCCATTACTTATAATACCTAATACTATCTAAAGTCTATGTAACTAGCACTCCATGCTCCCTCTTAGCCCTTGAAGGATTGCTTTGACCACATAGTTGCTTCTCCCCCACTTCCCCAGGATTTTCAATCCACGATTGGTTAAATCCCTGAATGTGGAACCCATGAATAGGAGGGCCAATTATATGTGGTCAGGTCCTAAATGGGAATCTATTATACATAAAACCCAAGAATTTTATTACTTTCTTCTAAAGCCAAATAAATAATTGTCTGATTATTTTAAAAGCAACCCTTTTCCTCTCTGCTGGCTTAAAGAAACTAGGAACTCACTAAAAAGTATCAATTTGATAAGACTCTAATATGTACAAAGAACTGGCTTCTGCCAATGTAATATGTTAAATTATTACAATCTAGTCTGACCTCATCATTCCTCTGCCCCAAGCCCTCAAGTATGATTCAGAGTACAAGGTAAAGTCTCACAATAGCTTACAGGCCCAGGCTGTTTTACCCAGTCCCTTCCCTGCTCATCTGACCTCCTTCTACTCCTTCCGGGGCACCCAATGCTTCAAACACATTGGTCTCTTTACTGTCGTGCCAACAGACCAAGAATTGTCCTCTTCAGAAGGCCTTGGTACTTGCTGTTCCCTCTCTGGAACATCCCTTATCCCAGATACTCCCAAAGCACAAACAAACCCTCATCTCCTGTTAAGAGTGAGTCTCAAAAACTCAAAGGGGAGAGCAGCAGTTCTACCTGTCCTATAGGGTCGCCATTCGTCAGAAATTTATGGCAGTGTGTTTGGTTTGGGGTCTTGTGAGTGCTTTTCTAACCACAGTTTCAAATTGCCCTATCTCCTCCCCTGCACTTTTCCAATCTCTTATTTGTGTGGCACTGATCATTTTCTAATACAGTATAATTTGTTTAGTGTCTCTTTCCTCCACTAGATGTAAGTTTCATGACAGCAAGGAAGACAAACCTATCCTTAGCACCTAGAACAGCCCTAAGAAATACATATTGTAGTCACTATTAAAAACAATAGTATTTTAAAAACAATTAACAAATTACAGAGAAGAGCACACAACGCCCATGTTAAGTTAAAAAAATCAGAACACATTTTTTTCACTAATAAAAGTCTAAATACTAATTTTTTGTATACAACATGTACTGAACACTCACATGCCAGACCTAGGCTGGGCTCTGGAAAGTTGAAGTAAATTAAGACAAGAGTCTATGTCCTTCAGCCCAACCACTTCTGGGGGTGCATATAGGAGAGGAGAATGCAGAAACCTGTCATTTCCAACAAGGAATAAACAGGAAAGCACGAGGAATTTTACTGACAACCTAAAACAGTGGGGCAAGGGAGAGGAAACTTCACTAAGAGGACCAGGAAGCTAAGGTCCCAAAACGTCTAGACTAATGGGGCCATTTTCCTTTATATTACTGATGCTTTCGACTCCACATAAAGGATTTACTCACAACAAACAGGATCTCAAGCAGGTCGGCGGAGAAGTTTGAGGGATGCTGATCGAGTTAATCAACGACCTACTCTGACTGTTCAAAGATCCCCGACTCTGTCTTGACAGACTCTCGAGTGGGCCACTTTTACCTCTCGGGTCACCTCGTTGAAGGCTTGCATCTACCAATGCAGCGTGCCTTCGTCAGAATCCGCCCGTGGCTGCGCCTGCCGTGCGGCCGGACCTCTCCTCCCCAGCTCGAAGGGCGCTAACTCAGGAAAGCCGCCAACTGGGCCTCAGTAAGTTACGAGTCGCAGGAGCCCTGAGAGGGGCTGCCGGGCGCCCGGGATCGGAAGGCTCCTTCGAGGCCTCAGCGTCGCACTCCCATCCCTTCCCAGCCCCCCGGTGCCCCGAGGTTCCTCCGCCTCTTTGTTAAGCGAGGCCGCGGTTTCCCGGCCTTCGCTAGGCCTCACAGTTGCCTCTAAGTGTCCCCAAGGGTTAGCCGCCCCGAGTCCAGACCCACCTCGTACAAACCTGCTGCGACAGCTGCAGCGGTCGCTGATACCACCGCCAAAGCGAAGAGAATCCCACCTCCCGCAGTACGCGCGGTCCGGACCCCGTCTCGCCGCACTCCTCCTCCGCCCCCTTCGCCGCCGCCGCCGCCTCTCGGCCCGTTGCTGAGCGGGGGAGGGGCACACTACCCTGACATGCGCAGTGTAGAGCGCGGGCCGAAGGGCGGGGCCTGGGAGCAATACTCGCTGAAGGCGCGAGAGCGCCCGACCGGAAAACAACAAAATGCTTAGCAGACTCCTCAAACACTCTGATAGGAAATTGCTGTGGGGTGAAGAATGCTCATGGCCGAGCTACAGAGCGGGCTGGGAGTGAAAAACGGGTAGCAGCGGACGGGGAGCGGCCCCCAAATTCCAAGAGCACAGGACTTGGGCGAACACTGCAATAAACACGTCATCCTCCTAAACTTAGTCCCAGACAGAAACGAGCCGGACCACATTTATCCGCACGCTCCGGGCCACGTGGTCCCGCCTGGATAGCTTTAGCTTCCGGAGCACCTGCCTTGAGCCTAGTGGCGAGGCCTTGGATCAACCAGTGCATTTCCGGCCCAGGGCGGGGATTATGTAATTTTCCCAGCAGCCCCACCTCGCCTCAGCTAGGGGCGGGGGCGAAGCGGAGAGGGAACGATCTCGCGGGGTTTCCGAGCCGGTGTTCCCGCCCTCCTGGCCGCGCGCAGGCGCAGACGGGCCGTACGCGTTCTACGTAACGGATGGCGGAGGCTACGTGAAGAGATTCGCGGCGTGACCGAGCTGCCTGATCTGGCTGTGTCCTAGTGGCAGCGGGCAGGGGGTGTGGGCAGTCACCGCGGCGACGGCGAAGGTGGTGGCCAGGCCGAGAGGCAGGAGGGGTAGAGCTAGCGGCTGCAGGAGCGCGGGGCAGGGTGTTGGCCTTCGGTGCAGGTAGGGAGCGGTCCACGACGCGGTAGTGGGGCCGGGCCCGGCCGAGCGGTGACCCGGGAGTTGCGTGGCCTACCCTGCCCCCTTTCCCACCTCAGCCCCATTTGGTCCGGCCAGAGGTGACACGCCTCGGGGCCGTGCCTTCTCTTCTCTCCCCGACTTTCTAAACTAATGCAAAGCCCACTGACCCCAAGGTCCATTTTCTGTTGGCTTGTCTTGCCTGGAGTGATTTTAACCGCAGAACCGCCCTACCCCCAGCAGTGATCTAGGTAGCAGCAAGAAGGGCAAACAAAGTTACAAGACATTTGGAGGGTGCCGTAGGAAAAACCGTAGCCTTCTGAATGAATTCGTTCCCCCGTGATGGAACCGATGTTAAACACGAATGGTTAAGAGACAACTTCTGTGGAAAGTCTGTGACACTGTTTTGGACGTAAGATGTGTGTTTATGCCAGTACACCGACGTGATTCCCAGCGTGCACCTGTTGTGGCCATAGCAGGGAGGCCTAACCTCGAATGGCAGTGAGCTGTGAATGATTTCCCCACTTCCTGGACTCGGGCTTGTAAAGTTCGGACTCGGTCCCCGAGGAACTGCGGGAGGAGCTTACGGAAGATAATCAAACCAGACTTGCTGTGCCTCAGCCCTCTGCCTGTCCCACAAGCTCCAAACTGGTGGGGGTCCCAGTGAGAAATGAGTTGACAGGTCCAGTTCTGCGACGGAAGCAAAATGGCTTGGATAATTTTAACCTAAATGGCCTTGAAAGAATCCTGCTGCAAGCCGGAATGCCCTTAAGAAATGCTTCCATGGGGTGACCCTTCTAGGTGGACATTTAGTTTGAAATGATCGGACCCCAATGTCAATGTTCTCGTTTTTATTTGTAAAGCCTTTCATGATTCCTATTTCTAAAAGTTTAAGGCTAGGATCTGAAAAGACGTCAATCGTATATTTTGAAATTACAATCAACCGAGGAAGAAAGGAATTGGAACCTCTACATATTGAGCGTTTTCTGTGTGCCAGGCAACTTACTAAGACTTGGCACCAGACCCCCATAAGGCTCACTGTAGCCCTATGAAGCAAGTAGTGAGTGATAACCCCTGTGCTCGTTCTCTCCCTTTCTTTGCACATGACAAACAAGGACTTTTAAGTGATTTGGTTATAGGCTGGTGAATGGTGGAGCTGGCCAGCATTTGAAATCAGCTCTAACTGCCTCAAAGTCTGTGTTCCTAAAAAAAAAAAAAAAAAAGTCTGTGTTCCTTTCCATGTTTCTTACACTTTGGATCACGTGTCCAAACAGGAAAAGCCAGAAAACTTAGAGAAGAGAGTTTGTTTTGCAGCTGAAAACTTAGGTAATTGATGACCCTTGGAATGAATGGTAGAAGCTGAAAATAACCACTCTTGAACATTCATTAATGAGAGTATAAAAGAAAATTAGGGATGTGTGTAGGCACATCACAGACCTCTTTGAGGTTGAAAAGGCAACCATGTTTTCTCCCAAAATGTTCCCTGGTGCTAACCTCAGACCAAATACTACGAAATAGCCTGTAGCTTATGACACGTGCCTTCCTACCATAGGAACTTTGACTAATTCAGAGTACATTGACTGAGTATCTCTGTGTGTAAGACATTGGTGTTTGATATTTAACTAAAAATTAACTGCGGTATAAATGGAGAATGCCCACCGTCCCAGAGCACCTTGAAAGAGTGGTGCGTGCTTTTGTCATCCTCTTCCCTCCCTGCATTCTGACTTCCATCCTTGCTACGTCCTGCAATTCCCACTAAAGATTTCTTTTACACCTATTATACTTCACAATATGTAATTTTAAAAATGGATATCTAACTCCCTAATAAAATGAAAGAAGACGAAAGCATTTACCTTTTTAGGCACAAATAGACCATGACTTGTCATCAGACGTTATTGCACTGTTGCTGCCTTAATTTGACAATGCATTTGTGAAACAATCTGCAGACAATTACTGTTGTAGCAAAGTGATGAGCACTTACAAGTAGATGTGACTGCCCTAAAGGATGTATTACGTCTGAATTTTACGCACATTATGCAGTAATGATGGCGTGGTGTGCAGGGTGCCTTCTACCTCTAATTATTTCTTTGTTAACATTTCACCTATATATTGTTTCCAACTTTCTGCAGCAATTAAAACAGCTTTGCTTCTCTCAGCAATGTGTTTCTTGTTTGACTTCTATGATACCACTGTGGCTGGGGACACACACACGTCCCCACAAATGATTGATTCCTTTGTTACCTAACTAGATCTGGTCTAGTCCCATTCCATGTCCATCCCCAGCTCAGGCCTGTGTCTTGAACTCCAGACTTACATGTTCACATACAATACCTCATTTTTAGGGATAAGTGTGCAAGAGTCAATGTAAGTCATCTAATATGAGGGCAATTAAAAAAGTATTGCTATAATTTCATAGAAACCTTTGTTAAATAAAAATATCAAATGTGATGCTTTTCTCAACATCTAGGTCTATGTACTTCTGAGAGGTTAGTTTCTCTTTCCCAAAGAAATAGGCATTCACTGATTTACACCACATCAAAACAGCACTTTGGCATCCTCAAGGGACCCAAAATTCCTGTTTTAATGTTCTTGGAGTTTGGGAAACAACAAAAAAAGTCTGAAGGGGTAAGAGCAGGACTGTAGGGTGCATGGGGTAAGGTTCCCAAATGAAATTCTCATAGGACAACCCTTGCTACCCTCTTAAGAATGAACAGGTGCATTGGTATGATGGAAAAATAATTCTTTGGCACAATTTTCCTGGCCTTTTTTCTTACCAATGCAATTTTTAATTTTCTTGAAACTTCTCCCTAATAAGCCTCCATGAGCATTCTGTTTCCTTTAAGAAAAACTGAAGATTACCCCTTTGAAATCCCAAAGAATATTTGCCATACCTTCTTCCTGAGACCTCTCTACCTAGAATTTAACTCGCCCAGTAGATCCCTTTGGAAGCTACTTTTGGTTGAACTGTTTGAAGGCACCCTAACAAGACTATGACAGGTATTACTGAGAACTTGTCAGCTTCCATACACTAATGGCAGAGTCCTGTTTAAACACATTTTGTTTGGAGTAAGCCCACGCATATGTAAACAAAGCATTATAGCAACACTTTTTGACTTCCCCCTAAAATCTTCCTGAAACCCTTTCAACAGATACTAGGTGAATATATTACCTTCCCCCGATTTCCCTCCCTTTTTTGTTGCTCTCTGTTAACTAGGCATGGGGTTGGTTTTTTTTATTGTTTTATTGGGGCTTATAGCTCAAATAACAGTCCATACACCAGTTGTATCAAGCACATTTAGACCTCTATAAATGTCTTTTGCCTCCTAGTTCTTGCCTCTATTTCCTTTTACTTTCCTCCTGTCCCACTCTCATGTTCGACCTTCATTCTGCTCTCAGTAATTCCTGTCAGCTACATTGCCTAATGAGCCCCACCAGGCGCTCCACACCCTGGCCATAGATTGTAGATCTCTTGTTCCCTTGTCTCTGGATTTGACTATCCCCTCCTTTTCCCCCACATCCCCTTCTTCCCTGCTGTCAATCCCATTGTTTTCTCCTCGGAATTGTTTATCGTGCCTATCTTACATAGACAGACATGAAAAGAAGAAGAAGGGGCCTATAAATAGTTCCAGGTCTGCCTGCTGACCCTTATGTATGTTTTCCATTCTAGTCTGATGAGCTACCAACCCCTTCCCTCCTAATTCAGTCGATTCTCGGGATCCTCAGAGACTTCATTGCTTTGCTCCCCTTGCTGCTCTCTCGCGCTCCCTTCAGTTTGGCCCCGTAAGAATGGCCTTGCTCATCTATTCTTCAAGCCCAAATTTGGGATCACCCCAGCTCTTCTTCCCCAGACCATCTATATCCAATCACTTTGTGCTGACAGTGACAATTCTTGCATCTCTCCCAAATCCCTCCATTCCCCCTGCCACCTCCAGTTCAATCCTGTTTCATCTTCTACCAACTTTAAAAAAAAATCTTTTTATTGGGGGCTCTTACAGCTCTTACCACAATCCATTGTGTCAGGCACATTTGTACATATGTTGCCATCATCATTTTCAAAACATTTTCTTTCTACTTGAGCTTTTGGTATCAGCTCCTCATTTTTCCCTCCCTCCCTCATGAACCCTTGATAATTTATAAATTATTTTTTTCCTCTCTTACACTGACTGCTGTCTCCCTTCACCCACTTTTCTATTGTTCTTCCCCGTTGGGGGGAGTGTTATATGTCAATTAGTGTGATTGGTTCCCCCCTTTGTCCCCTCCACCTTCTCCCTACCCTCTGGTATCATCACCACTCTCATTATTGGTCCTAAGGGATTTATCTGTCCTGGATTCTCTGTGTTCCACTTCTTATCTACTGTATACCAGTGTACATGTTCTGGTCTAGCCGGATTTGTAAGGGCCATAATAGTGGAGGGAAGGAAGCATTAAAGAACTAGAGAAAAGTTGTTTGTTTCATCGGTGCTATACTGTGTCCTGACTGGAGCATCTCTTCCTTGTGACCCTTCTCTGAGGGGGATGTCCCTTCTACTGAATTATCTCAGCTACTTCCTGTTTGTCCTTCTGCAGTACCTTTTTCCAGTTCACACTATGTGCATAAGAACTGTCAGGATTAAATTTCAAAACTGACGGTGTCACGCTCCCTCTTACAATCCTTCAATTGAGTCTATTTACCCAAGCTATTTAGCATGGTATCTAAATTAGGATCACTATGATCTGGTCCCTGCTGTCCGTACCAACCTCACGTCCTCCGCTTGCCTCTACAAACCCCATGGCTCCATCCTGTCAAACTTCTGAAATGTGTGCTGTCAGCATTCTTTGCCATCCGCTGCCCCCTGTATTGCCGCTCCTTGAGAGCAGCAACCCTGCTTTTCATTGTTAAAACTTTATTACTCAAGTAGAGCAGAGAAGCCTTCAAAAATGCAAAGGAAATACCTGTAATCATGGCTACAAAATAACTACTATGTCCATCTGGATGTGTGCCTTCTAAGCCTTCTTCATGTGCATTTATGTCTAAAACAAACCTAGGTTCTAGTTGGTTGTTTGTAGCAATTTTTAATTGACCACAAGTAAATTTGTGTTTTCTGGTGTGCCTACAGTTTAATCGAGTAGTTTTAAATGTTTGCTCCTCTGAGTCATACTGTAATATATAGCCTTAAAGCTGAGCACTGCACACGTTTATGATCCTTCAGGAATCATGTTTTACTTATCTCAGCATGGTATCTGTTATGGTGATGAGTTCAGTGGGGTTAGCTATATTTAACGGGATAGGGCATGGCCATTTTATGAAAAGCTAAGAGCCAGGAAGTGTTTTGCAGAAAGTTGATTAGTCGTGGATAATTATTGAATCCTTAGGTAACAAAAGTTGTGTTTTAGCTTGATAGTGGGCTTTAGGGAGAAAATTTAGACTGGAGAAGAGCCCTTCTTCCACAGATGGTGAAAACATTATCTGGGTGGCTTTGAGGATTTGATGAATAATAGATTCCAAATGTAGAGGAATGGAAGAAATTAGATTTCTTGTGTGTTTTGGGATTTTTTTCCCCAACAAGGAAGATGGGGTTGATAGTAGTATTCAGATAAGGAAATTCAGATTCTTACTGAGTTTGAGGTGATGGAGAGGCAGGGGTCCACAAACCTCAGGGTTTTTACATTTTTAAAGGTTTATTAAAAAAAATAATAAGTGCTAGAGACCATCTGTGCCCTATAGAGCCTAAAACATTTACTACCTGCAGAAGTTTGTAAGGACATGTCTGTCAGTCAGCCTGTAGGGCTAGTGTTTAGATCACTGACTGCCATCAGTGGATATTAACTCACAGTGGCACTATGGGACAGAGTAGAACTGCACTGTGAGTTTCTGACTAACTTCTCAGAGAAGAAAGCGCTCTTTCTCCCATGGAGTGGCTGGTAGTTTCAAACTGCTGAACTTGTAGTTAAGCAGCCCAACCTACAGCCACTATGCCACCAAGGCAATAAGTAAGGTGGTTAGATAAGAGGACACAATTAGAAATATAACTGAAATAGATTTGATGGTTGAGATCTAACTACTCCTTAAGTTCCAGATGAAATGTTCTCTCCATCTTATTGTTTATTTTTTGGAAAGCCTTGCCTTTTGGGTAAAACGTATGGCATTGTCCTCTGTGTTTTCATTATCAGTTGGCATGTCTTTTTGTCTCAGATCTGATTTCTTTACATTTCTTGGTTTAAAACTGTTGAGATAGTGGAATACCTAGTGTTCCTTTAGAAACTATGAAATTTTAGTGTATTTAATCCCATTATACACAATAGGCACAATTTGTTGGGAAAAGTACTACTTAAAGTATGTAACAGGTAGTCTGAGCCACCAACTCACAGGTGAGAAGCAGCCTGAGTGATGATTGTTAGCATGGATTCTGGAAGCAAAATTGTGGGGGGGTTCAAATGACTGTGCCACTTGGGAGTTGTTTAACTTAGTATATTGTGGGCCTCATTTTTCTTACCTGTGAAATGGGAGGATAATAAAAGTATTTTCCCTAAGGTGTTGTTATGGTGAAATTATTTTTGTAAAGTCTTTAGAACAGCACCTGACACTTAGCATTGTAAGTGCTGTATGCTTGCTTGTCTAAAGATGATTGATGTTTGCCCTCTCAAGCATGTGTTTTTGTGTGTGTCCCGTTTAGTGTTAACTAAGAATGGAACCGTTTCTATCCACTTTGTTTATTTACTTTTTGCCAAATAAATTATTGCCTTTTATATCCTTTTGTTAGGCTCCCTTCCTAGTTCCTATATAAAGTACTGACAAGTCCTCAATAAATGCTTGTTGAATATTGAATACACAGTCATGTAAATGAAAAAAAGATTTAAGAGAACCCACCTTAAAGAAATTAAAATGGTTTTCCCAAGACTTTACCGGTAACCAGACTAGACCAGTAGTGGTCCAGACTAAATGGGTGGTCCAGACTAGACCCCAGTCTGGTCTCCCTTCTGTCTCCCAAACTCATTATTCCTTATATAATTCTATTGGGGACTAAATAGTATTGAATATAAGAAAACCAGGAAAGGTTTGTAAGTTCATTTTTTAACTGTTTACAAAATCTGATTGATATGACAGTCCATGTGAGTGCTTTTTGTTTATTTGTTTTTAAATTATTTCTCAGGTACAATGCAAGGTTTCCACACTTTCTGTGTTATCCTGTTGGTGTTTGGGAGCTTCTCTGAAGCAAAGTTTGATGATTTTGAAGATGAGGAAGACCTAGTAGAATATGATGACAATGACTTTGCCGAATTTGAGGATGTCATGGATGATTCGGTTACTCAGTCTCCTCAACGGGTGATAACCACTGAAGATGATGAGGAAGAGACTACTGTGGAGCTGGAAGGGCAGGATGAAAACCAAGAGGAAGATTTTGAAGATGCCGACACCCCGGTGAGATTCTCATACCGAGTGTCCTAGGGAGTTGGAAAGATAGATAAGAAAAGAAAAAAAAGAAGTTTGATAAGATGTGTAACTAACCCTTTCCCCGACATTGAAGTTTAAGGTACTAGTCTAACAGACCTTAATTTCCTGAAAACTTTCTTTTTGTTCAGTAGGTGGTGCTCTTTTACATGTTTTCTGGTATATTTCCACCTTTTCCATTAATCACGTAGCGATTGTGTTTTCACTAATGAAGCAATACGTATGCCTGCTCTGTGTTCCATGCTTGCTGCTTGTGTGCTCTGTTTTCCCATACAATGTTGCCTATGAAAAACAAGGCTCGGCTGCGGGCCACATTTGTATAGGAAAACCCATTGTGCCTCATTTTTTAGGAGGGAGATACCGAGAGTGAGCCGTATGATGATGAAGAATTTGAAGGTTATGAAGATAAACCAGACACTTCTTCTAGCAAAAGTAAAGACCCAATAACCATTGTTGATGTAGGTATACAGGATCGTGAATTCCCAGCTAACCAACAAAATGCCTTGCTGTTGTTTGTCCCAGAGCTAGAAGCTGTTGATCGTGGTGTTGATGAGATATTAGTGGGAGCTAGGGCGGAGCTTGATGTGGAGGGTTACAATCCTAGGTTTTATTTTAGTCCTCCTAGTTTTATTTCTCAAGGAGTGAGTGAAAGGATACACATTAGATATATTTGGGGGTGGCACTCAACCAAGCACAATACAATCTTTTCTGTAGCCAACCTAAGAAAAAATTAAAATACGCTTATTGTCTAAAGTACCCAGGACTCTGTACAGATTTTCTCATCATGTGCGTTACATTCCTCCTTCAGCTGCAGCCAACTTTAATTAGAATGATTGTGCTTCCATAGGTCCCTGCACACCTCCAGAACAGCTGGGAGAGTTATTATCTTGAAATTTTGATGGTGACTGGTCTGCTCGCTTACATCATGAATTACATCATTGGGAAGAACAAAAATAGCCGCCTTGCCCAGGCCTGGTTCAACACTCATAGAGAACTTTTGGAGAACAACTTCACTCTAGTTGGTAAGTCTGGCCAATGGGATTTCAGTTGCCAGCTGGGAAACAACCTGATAAGAACACTTTTCTCTCCTCAGTAGAAGCACTGCTAAAAAGGATGCACTTTTTATTTTTCCTCTTCTCTCCCAAGGATCCCCTTTTTGTTACGTTTAACAAACCAAATTGTATTTGTGAGATAATTTCCTCATATTTTATTAGTCACGACATAACTGCTAAGTAGCTTCTGATAAGAATGAAATAGTACCATCAATGCAAGTTAATAAAATTCTAGCCCAAAGCAAGGAGCATTGACATTTTACTTAGCTTGCTAAATGCTCTCAGTTCATCTCTTGAAAGTACTGGAAAACCCTCAAAATTCCTTCAGATTCTTGGTATTTATTTTGTTTCAGATTCACTTATGAGGTAGACACTGAGAGGCCTTCTGTAGGTCCGTAGGCTAGGAAGGGAGGGAAGTCACCTCACATTCACGTCTGTTTGGCTTTTCATACTGTGTTTCTTTTCCAGTAAACAAGCGGTCTGTTCAACCCTTTAGGTACTGGGCATACATTGGTTTGATCTTGGTGTATGTAAACATTTTTTTTTAATTTACAGTATTTTTATGTATTACAATATTTCTCCTCTGGTGATTGATTAATTTCACTCAACTTAATGGAACGTTGGTGGCATATTGGTTACACAGCAGTTTGAAACTGAGGGAGAAAGTTGGGGCTTTCTACTCCATAAAGAGTTATTGTCTCAGAAACTCACCTGGGCAGTTCTACCCTGTCCTACAGGATCACTATGAATTGGCAGCAACTCAATGGTAGTGAGTTTGTTGTTGTTGTTGGGGGTGTTTGTTTGTTTGTTTGTTTGTTTGAGGGTCCTACTGGTGGTAAGTTCCTACCATAATAAACCAAAAAAGCAAACTTGCTGCCATCAAGTCATTGTTGACTCATAGCTAGCCCCTGTGGGTTTCTGAGACTATAACTGTTTAACAGGAATAGAAAGCCCAATCTTTCTCCCTCAGAGCTACTGGTGGTTTCGAACTACCAACCCTGCGGATCGCAGCCCAACTCATAACCACTACACAACCAGGGCTCTTGGCTTACCTACCTGCTTCCAGAAATCATACTTTTTCCATTGTGCTTTAGAGTGCTTTTTGACCAGGATATGAGAGAAAAATAGTAGCCTTGGCTGCTTCCACTTTCCCTCATGAGTTTTCATTTGATACATCTGTCTCCTTTACCTTGTGAGGTTAAACAATCTCTTTTTTGTACACTTAATGAATTAAATAAAGAGGAAATTAGGGGGTTTAAGTGGAGAGAAAATGTTTTGAGAAACGATGTACAAATGCGCTTTACACAATTGATGTGTGTATGGATTGGGATAACAGTTGTATGAGCCCCTAATAAAATGTTTTAAAAAAAAATGTTGCTATAAAGAACAAAAAAAAAAAAAGAGGAGATGATTGGTTCTTGAGGTATTTCTCAATCTAAAATACAACTCTTTAGCACTACTGATAAGCCCAGTTATGTTGCTATTGGGGAAGTGGCTCAATTGTAGAGGATAAATATGGAACTTGTTTAAAGTTAACTCATAATCAATTCAGTGAGGGAGCATTGAATAGTTTGTATTAGTGGTATTCTACTTTACACGGGGTTTTTTTTAACCTTTGGCAGATCGTAGCCAGATTTTGTCTCATTTTGTATCCTGCTTTAAAAAAATTCATACTCCAAGCTGATCACCATAAAGTTAATAAAGACTTAGAAATGATGCTAGAATCTCTCAATTTTTTTAGGGTGTGTATGTGAAGATATTAAAACTAAAAGAATCTGTCTGTTTTAATCTCTGCCCCTTTGAGAGCAGCGCTGTAAGCTAGCAGAGGTATTGCAGTCTTCCAGGTGTGGTCATTTGGGAGTCTGGGGAAGGTGGTGGTGACCAGGTCCCAACATCTCAGTGAACCAGATGAATTGCTTTACCCCTAGGGGATGATGGGACGAACAAAGAAGCCACAAGCACAGGGAAACTGAACCAGGAGAATGAGCACATCTACAACCTGTGGTGCTCCGGCCGGGTGTGCTGTGAGGGGATGCTGATCCAGTTGAGGGTAAGTAGGGAAATTCTGATGTAGTGAATGAATTTTCTGATTTCTTTCCAGCCGTAATTCCTAATTTGGTGTCTCTTTTTTTTTTTTAAGTCCCTGCTAAAATGAGGTCCCAGATCCTCTTTCCACTAAGAAATAGGTGGCTTGGTTGTTGAAACCTTGGCTCTCTTCCTCCAAAGACCCTTTATGGGAGGCCAGAGTTGCAACTTACCTTACTTACTTTTTGTTTTTCCAGTTCCTGAAGAGACAAGATCTACTGAATGTCTTGGCCCGGATGATGAGGCCAGTTAGTGATCAGGTGGTATGTATTCTTCACCTGTTGATTTCTGAGGACAGGTTGAATACGTAGCTTTTTAGGATTTATGCCATTTCTGCCTGAATTTTGTTTGGAGTTTCTGGCAGCTTGTATCTTGCCACGTCATTTTGGTCTACTCACTATACAGTCGAGGTTGAGGAAGGGGGCATGTGTTAACATTTACCTTCTTTATGTACTGATAATTATTTGATCTACACATTTAAGTAGTTAATTTTGACACATTTTATCATAACAGATTCTTTAGGCTTAATAAAAAATGTATCTCTGTGGCCCGCTGTAGAATGCTGATGACTCTACTTACACAACTTCAATCTCAGTGTTTGGATTTGAGTATCCTGTGTGATCCTATCACTTTTTTAATTGCTGCACTCCTAAGATAATCTTTAGATCCTTATTATATCACTCTCTGCTTGGACCTTCTCACCCATCTCAAGGAGACCCCTTCCAAGAGATTTGATGGGTGAGACCTTTTTAAGAGCTTGTTTGATTAGGCCCACCCAAAATACTGTCCCTTTTCATTGACTCTGTCATATAATGCAACGTAGTCTGGGAGTGATATCCCATTAATCACAACACCTGCTTACATTCAAAAGAAGAATGTGTATGCCATAGATCAGGAATCTTAGGGGTCATTGTAGACTCTCTGGCAGCCACCAAACCTAACAGGTAAAGTGGGGTTTATTTACTTTTTCCTTTTTTTAAGCAAATAAAAGTGACCATGAATGATGAAGACATGGATACCTATGTGTTTGCTGTGGGCACACGGAAAGCTTTGGTGCGGCTGCAGAAGGAGATGCAGGATGTGGTATGTGAGGCTCAAATTTATGAAGAAACTGTGCCTCTTTGTCATGTAGATGTTCAACTTTGTAGCGCAGCATGATTGTATTACTTGAACGTAGTTAGCATCAGTAGGCCAATACATGTAAAACAGTGGCCTGGCTTACTTTCCATTACTTCTTCTTGTAGAGTGAGTTTTGTAGTGATAAACCGAAGTCGGGAGCAAAGTATGGCTTGCCGGACTCCTTGGCCATCCTGTCAGAGATGGGAGAAGTCACAGAGGGAATGATGGATGCAAAGGTAAGTACAGTACAAGACATGCATTTCTAGACCTGGGCATTTAGAAAACCCTCCTTAAAGTCACACTACAGGTTCATCATTTTATGACGATACCACTGACATATTTCTTTCCCACGCAAATACTGAAATTCCTTCTTTAAGAGACTAACGTCTTAAAAAGACAATCCCATTAGTCAAAAAGTTCTTTCAAAATCAACCCAACTGTCACACACTTTAATACAATAATAGAGGCTACCTCACTACCCATTGTCAATCCCAACACAGGTGACCCTGTAGGACATAGCAGGGCTGCCACTTATTTCCACTGAGCAGCTGTTATGTTCAAATCAATAACATTGGAGGTGGCCATCAAGTGCTTTAGCCATGTGCCACCTGAACTTTCTACTTCCAATTGTGAGTTAAAAATTAACTATCTATAAAGACTCCCTGAGATTATTTTTGTTGTAGAAAATGTGAGAGGGCTTCAAAACACATGAGGAATGATTCTGTTATCTTTTCATTGTTTTCTGAGTTTTGTTTTGTTTTTAACTTTTATTAGCTTTTATTTTTCACTTAATTTACTCGAAAGCCGTAAGTTTGTGTTTCTTCTGGGATATCTTTTTCCTGTGCCACCACCTCTTCTGGTTTAGAACAATTGGTTCCTTTTCAGTATGCTCGTAAATAGGCTGACCCAGCCATGAGCTCTGTAAGTCCAGCGGTGCATCTTGGAGGCCTTGTTCACCTGGATATGATCAGTGACCAGAGAATCCACATCTAAACCCTTAAGTTCAGCATTACGCTTTGCATTTGTAAGCACGTGCAGCAAAAATTCACTCTTGGGGCAACGGACCCTGGCTCCAACCACACTGTTTGCCTAGGCACACCTACCCACTCCTTCATTGTAACATCAGAAGGACAGACTCTTTTGCAAAGTGACATCTTCCAAATAATTGGTGGCTTACTGGATCTGCCTCCCCTTGATGGCCTGGACAGTTTCACAGGTGTTCTTAAAATGGGCCCGAAGATTTGACCCTCTTGATTTGTATGATTTTGTGGGTCGAGTGAGTAGTGAACCATTTTGGCAGATCACCTCAGGCTTCTTTGGGGGGAGAGCTAATTCCGTTTTTTAAGCCTCTTTATACACAGTAGTGCATCCACCAGTTCAGCAATTTGTACACATCCAATTCAGTGACACCGAGGACCTCCTTTCTCACGCTCCTTTACTTTCTTCCCTGGTTTCCCTGCTAATAGAAACGTACTGCTTCTTCGTTTGTCTGTCTGTTAGCCTCTTAGTTTTTATCTAATGTTTTGAATTGGGGTTGTCCGTTTGCTCCTATCTAACGATAGATCTTAGGAGCCTGGGTGGCGTGGTTGATTTCACACTGGACAGCAGCTAGCTGTCCCACAGGAGAAAGATGAGGTGGTCTGCCCCTGTAAAGATTTGCAGCCTTGGAATTAACTCAATTGCTATGGGTTTGATTTGTGTTTTTTTCATGACCTTAAAAGAGCACAATGCTTAATGTAGACAATCTTTACTAGTTGAGCTAGACTACTGTTTGGCTTTGAGAAAACTTCAGGGAGTGTTTTTGGATATGGGTCTGAAGATTACATCAGCAGTAGTTTCATGGGTTCATCTGGTCCCCATTGCTCCAGAAAGTCCAGATTCCATGAGAATTTGAAATTCTGTTTTGCACCACCCCCTACTCCAACTTTCCTTATTGATCAGAATTCTTCCGTAGATTCTTGACCCAAAACATTCAGTGATGGTAGTTGGGAACTATGAAGTTTTGTCTCATGATAAAGGAGACCATTGTTCATGGAGGTAATTAATAACATTTCATTTCTTCCTCCTGTTCCTGATATTTTAGATTTTTGTCATCATACTTTCTTGTTTAGAACATTACAGCTATCCCTTGGTATCCCTAGGGGATAGGTCCCAGGACCCCACAAATGCTTAAACCCATGATATGAAATGGCATAAATATTTGCATATACCTATATGCATCCTCCTATATACTGTATATACTCATGTATATGCCAAGTTTTTCAGCACATTTTTTTTTTACACATTTAGTTTTATTGTAACAATTTAAATCTGAGCATCTTTCCTTTCCAGTGAAACAAAAAGAAAATTTAAAAATAAACAGGAACAAAATGACAATAGAGAATGTCAATTCCAAAGAAGATCCTACAGGTTCTGCTGAGTCTCCCATCGAGTGGCAGGGCTCGAGTCATCATTAGGAGAGAATTTTATTTTTAAAGTGTCATCCTAAACTGCAAGGATGTCCGTTAAACATCACAATTAAGCATGCCAAAAGAGAAGCCATGTTGTCAAAATGCCCATTTAACCTACCCAAACATCTCAAACCCACCCTTTGCTGACCTTCTATAACCCCTTTTTTAGTTTTTTTCCTTTTTTTTAAAACAAGAGAAAGTAGACAGATACATGTTGGTAAATGCTAACTGTCCATATTCACATAGAGACACTAATCTCTGAGCCCAATATATGGAGAAAGGAGGAAAGAAGCTGGAATTCAATGCACTACTACACAGGGGCCTAGCACCCTCCACCTGCCAGCAGGGCTAAGGGAGCAGAGGGTTTTCTGTTTTCCCACAGAGCACGGTGGTGTGTTGATTCCATAGTTTTTGTTGGGACAGGAAGGGACAATTAATTTGAACACAAGGGGGTAGAGATTCTTTTCCACTGTATTCTGCACAAGGCATTATTCCCCCCACCCCCAAATAAGTTGAGAACCATGGTGTAGAGAAAAGAGACCTCAAGAACAGGGTGACTGAGCACAAGAGGAAGAAAGAGAAACCAAAAAAAAGTCTGCAACTTGCTCCCAGGGACTGAAGAAAATTAAAAAAGGTTGGAATCCATCAGTGTTCTGTTAGTCATCCTCTTTCATCCTCCTCTCCTTCCTCTCCCTCGTCATCATCTTCATCTTCCCCTTCTTCATCATTATCTTCTAAACCTTCGTCGTCGTCATTCAGCACATTTTTTACGCAGTTTTTGTGGTAAAATTAGGTACCTCAGCTGATGTTCAGGTTGGCTTATACTTGAGTATATACGGTACCTTAAATTATTTCTAGATTACTTATGATTCCAAATCAATGTAAATTTGATATAAATAGCTCTTTATGGTCTCTGTTGGCCATCGAGAAACTGCTTTGACAACTTAATCCTTTAAAAAAAATTTGGGCGGGAGGAATGAGAAGCTGATATTAAGGGCTCAAGTAGAACACAAAGATTTTGAGAATGATGATGGCAACAAATGTACAAATATGCTTGACATGATGGATGGATGGATGGATTGTGATAAGAATTTTACGAGCCCTCAATAAAATGGTTTTGGTTTTTTTTTTATTTTCAAATTGAGCTTAAGACTGTAATTCAGATAAATCAGGTAACCTTTGGAACGGCCTCGTTACAATCATCACCACAATCTATTTTAGAATATTTTGTTAAACACCCCCCCCCCATCCTTTTTTAAAATACATCCAAGGTTTGTTGAAGCCACAAGTGGGAAACTGGAAAAGGAGGGCCAACTGTGTCCTGCTCACTAAGAAGAAACCAGCTTTGGAGTAACTAGAGCCCATAAGGGTATTGATTCCATTTTAGAAGCATTCCTGACTTAAATTTCATTTTTTTAAAGCTTTGGCTTAAATGACACGGAAAAAGTAAGGAAGAATGAAGGGTAAATATCTATGACAAAAAGGAAAATGTATCAGATCCTACTTTTAAAATATCATTTTCTGTTTTCTTTTTTCCCAGATGGTTCATTTTCTTACACACTATGCTGACAAGATTGAATCCGTTCATTTTTCAGACCAGTTCTCTGGTCCAAAAATTATGCAAGAGTACGTATGAGATAAAAATAATGAAATCAGTTTTCTTCACCAGCTTTCAATGTTGAAAAACCTGCAGGGTGCTTCTGCAATTTCCCTTACCAACTAAGGGAGGGGAGTTGGTGACCAGCCTCCAGGTTTTCCTTTGCTCGGACTGCATGCAGTGGGCAAGGTCATTGAAACCTGGAGGAGGCAAGCAATTGAACCTGTCCCGGTTTGCATGTGTCCCTGCATGTCCACGCCATCTTCTCACTGATGTGGCTGGTTTTAAGAAAGTGCAGTTGCTAATCTCATTACCCTCCGTAGTCTAGGCTCTTTTATTTCTGCCTCAATTTATGATATACTAATCTGTGATGCTTGACTTGTGTTTGATTCATTACTAATATGTCTGTTTTGTAATAATGATCTTTGTGGCTTCCTACCGTGAGTGGTTGGTCGATCATATGTTAACGTGCTGTCAGGGCTATGCCTAAAGAGTTCCTGGCTTTATTTTTTTATTCTCTTCAAATGGACGTATTGTGACTATCACAGTTTGGATTTGTTACTTAACCCCACAGCCTTTCTTGGGCAAACACAATTAGTTATGATCTATGCTTGATTTTAAACTGGTCCTGACCTAGGTTTTTGGTTTAAGGACTGCTGTCCCCCAGGCTGGAGAGTTGAGTACAATGAAAACCCAATCTAGATTTTGATTCTGTGTCCAGTTTCCTCGTGTCCACATGTCACAAGATGGCAGTGTGTCCATCTTTGCCTCTCCTTGCCCCACTAGGCGGGGGCAAGGTATCCCTTTGTATACTCCCCGAGCCTTTTGTGTATAGAGGCTGAGAGAGCTGGATAGTCAGAGATTACAAAAGTCTTTGATGAGATCAAAACTAAACTGCATATTCCACAGATTATCCCTAAATTTACTCTTATTATAAGGAATCTGATATTCCTTTATAGAAAAACACCATAGGAGATAGAAATAAAACAAAATTCATGTTTCTTTTGAAAAAGCAAAACCGTTATTTAAAATAAGGACCCTTAATAAGCTCATTGCTGGCTCCCCATGTGAAGTGGGCTGTTACCTTCCTGGAGGGCACATCACGGGAGGCTTTACATTTAGAATGAAGATCTCTTGGAAGAACGTTGCAGGAGAGATCACCCATCAGATAAACGGTTAGGTCTGATGACCTCTAAAGTTCTCTTGGTTGCTGAGGTTAGATTGGAGTTAGAGGGTGCTAAACTCAATGCTGGGCAGATCTTTGTGCTGGCTATTTGAGGGACTTGTGTGCTTAGAAATAGCTTTCCCCTGTTCTTCCTTAAAAATGCTTTTTCTTTTGTGGCAGGGAAGGTCAGCCTTTAAAGCTGCCTGACACCAAGAGGACACTATTGTTTACATTTAACGGTGAGTGTTGGGGGCTCTTCAATTTCTGTGGTGATACTCTAAATAGGGCGGGGCAGGGGCGGGGACCTTCAATAATTCCGTGGGAAAATGAAATTAAAGGCTAAGCGGAATTTTGCCATAAACTTTTAGAAACCCCTTCGTATAAAAGGACCCATGATTTCTGGGTCCTTCAGCAAAAAGGACCTTTGATATTTTTGTATTTCTTGACTTCTGTTTCATTTTAATTGTCTAAGGAGCTTAGAAAAAGGAATCTATTGATACTTAAAAAAGAAAAAATGAGGTGTCCCAAAAGTAATGCGCCATTAACTCAGAACATGGTTGTGTGTTCCAGTACCTGGCTCAGGTAACACTTATCCAAAGGATATGGAGGCTTTGCTACCCCTGATGAACATGGTGATCTACTCTATTGATAAAGCCAAAAAATTCCGACTCAACAGAGAAGTAAGACCCAAACCCTTTCATTTGAGGTTCACCTTTTCTTGTCAATAGGCTGTTGTCTTTTCTTTTTTTTTTTTTTTTGAGAGTCAACCATCAATGAGGGCGGGTTCATGAAAGCACACTGAACTGGGATTTTGTGTGTGTTGGGTACACGGATTTCTGATGAAATGCTTTGGTCCTTGGGGAAAGGGCAAGCAAAAGGCAGATAAGAACCGGGCTCGAGTGGAGGAGAACTTCCTGAAGCTGACGCACGTGCAGAGACAGGAAGCAGCACAATCCCGGCGAGAGGAAAAGAAGAGAGCCGAGAAGGAGCGAATCATGAATGAGGAAGATCCGGAGAAACAGCGCCGGCTGGAGGTAGACAAACTCCCCTTATCACTAAAGCTAGGGAGATTTTGAAATGTTCCTTTTGGTGCCATATTAACTGTTAAGGTCAATCTGTGTAGGAATGTGCACAAACGAAAGGGGAAGGAAACTAATCAGTCTGTAACTTCACTGGCCCATTCATACACATGATGATCTAGAACTTTCCGCCATATATATGCTGTAGCTGCTTACTTGCAACTGAGCTCTCATGGAGGTGTTGACCCTCCTGCTTTGGTTCTACATGCTGCTGACCCAACAGCACAGCTAGAGAGGGATGCATGTTCACATTTACATGGCCACATCGTTGCATAAAGCCAGAAAACCAAGCCCACAGACTCAGAGCTACTCTAGGGCCGAGTAGAGCTATAGCTTGGGGTTTCCAAAACTGGAAATCCCTAAGTAAGGCAGATAGCCTTCTCTTTCTTCAGTGAAGTGGGATTAATGGGTTTGAACTGCCGACCTTGAAGTTAGCAACCACTGTGCCACAAGGGTTCCTCCTTTAGTTGCATAGGGTTTGCCATTTAGTGTCGAAACCTACCCACAGTCAATTGTATCCAAACCACTAATGTACAAATCACCATTTGAAACATACTTTGCTAGGTCCAGAACTATGCCCCACACGCACATGCCCTCTTGGCTTTCCCATTTTCTTAAACAAGGCGCTTCAAAAGTTCGTGGGAAAATGGAATTAAAAGATAATGGAATTTTTCTATGAATGTTTTGAAACCCCCTTGTATTTCTTATTTTATACCCATTAAGGAGCATATTTCTGAATAGTAACCTGTGTGTTTTGCTATAAAACTAATATATTTAAGGTCTCCTCAGGTATAGCTTCCTAATTTCTTACTGAAAATATAATTTCCAATGAACACTATAAATTGAAGTATGGTGTTAATGTTCAACATCTCTGCTATTAAGATGGGATTTACAATTAATAACCTGATGGGTCAAGACTCTTCATTGCTTGCTGAACTGGAGTTCCATTTTGGCCGACATCTACACAAGCAGCCTCAGAGATATTGTAAGCATAGTCCCAGATCATTGCACTGAAGCAAATAACACAAGCCACCAGAATTTGGGATTTCACCATACATGCACAGGTTATGCTAACTATACACGATAGTCAATGAAGTGTACAGCAGCATGAAAAAGTTTGAAGTCTTGCAAGAGGACCACAATGAGACCCAGAGGTGAAGGGAACACCTGCTGCTGGAAAACCAGTCTGAGTAGATGTGCTCAATGCAAGATTGCCACACGCCTCCAAGGCGTTCAGAAAACACACACGCACACAAACCATAAAAGAGGTCTGCCCACCTGTATGCAGATCACAGTAAAGTAGAAATACAGAAGGAAAGTTAAAAAGCAACACATGAGGTTTGCCTGAGAGCTCCCCAATGTCTCCTGCTTGTAAGAAAATTCTAAGTGGATTCACAAAGCCGAGTGGAATGTGGTGTGTCCTGGCTTAGCTCATTTTCACTCACCAGCACAGATACTTACAATTCCTTTATAAACCAACTCTGAAAATCACCTATGGTTCAAGCCTGTTTTTTTGAAAAATAGGCAATATTCTAGTTGTTTTGTTTTCCTCATAATGTGTGCTTAGCACTTAGTTTTGATTTTCTGTCTTGCCAGGAGGCTGCTTTGAGACGTGAGCAAAAGAAGTTGGAGAAGAAACAAATGAAAATGAAACAGATCAAAGTGAAAGCCATGTAAAATCACCCGGAGAGCTGAGTCCTGGTGCCATTTGTAAGCTCGGAATTCATCAGCAACAGACAAAAATGACCCGTCCACGCCTCATTTTGAAGTTCACACACTCCCAGCTACTGTGAAAGCTGTGTCTCGTCGTCTGTGGTGCGGTTGGTTTAGAACATTGCAGAAGCTGTAGACATGTTGGAAGGGCTCTGTTTCAGCAATTTTCTTCCAGAAAATCAAACTATTTTGATTATTTCATAAAAGGAGTGATATATGAAATCTTTATAGTTTTAAAATATTTTTAAATTATAACATGAATCATCAGTGCTTTTAGTGCTTTGATGTTTGAAGAAATATCATGAATTTATAGGTAGCTAATTCAGTTGCTTTTTGTTTAAACCTGGCAGTTATAATGGCTATGAATGAAGTTTGACTCTTAAACCAAAATTCTACAAATAACTATTGAAATTGCACAATAAACATTGCTTGGTGTTTTCTTCTTTGTCTTAGCTTAAACTTAAGAAATAAGAAAAATTTAGAACACTATACGTGGTATTGAAATTTCAGGGATTCTGACCATAATGTAGTTCACTACATTATGTTTTGTCGGTGGGCGGTGCTAATGCCAGTATTACAGGATATCTGTAGGTTTGAGGGTACAGGCAGTACCGGGTTACAAATGCGCTCCATCCCAAGTGTGTAAGTCCAATATGTAGGTAAGTCAGAATACATGCATACAGTTCTTACTTCAGTGCAGGAAAAGGCTTGAAGCCTCTTCAATGGTTTAAAAGCTGCCTATGCAGCAAGTGAAGGTGATTTGATAAAGGATTTGATGTGAGTGGAGGCTGGTTACATCATTTTAAATAATGTGAGCAAATTTACCTTAATTAAAGGGCAAGTGTGAGTTGTCCCTAGGCAGACATTCATAACCAAGGACTTAGTGTACTTATGTATACGTGGAAAATACTAAGGATAGCGAGTGCAGGAGCAATTTCCCTCTACATTCAAATCATGAGCTAATGATAGTGTGTATGTTATATGGTTATTGTATGTTCCTTTTTCTTGAATAACATGCATGGAAACTAAATGCTTCACCTAGCTCACGTCGTGGTCTATGGTCTCAAATGTTCCCCTTGGTCACGGCATCTATTGTATGTTCTTGGAGAAACGGAGTCTCTGAGTCATGGCTATACACCTTCGCTTCGCCCTCTGCTTTGATTCTTCCACAGTCAGTGAAAATGGCATGAGTATGCGCAAATATAGTTTTAAAACGTCACTTTCCTAAACTGGTGAGAGTTCTTTCTGCCTCTAGAGGATGAAGCTCTGAGGGAGGTGCCCTTCTGTCTGCACAAGCATCTAGCTTGTTCAGATCTCTGCATTTTATAAACGCTTCCTGCTAAGAAAGCATTTTTCAAAGGCACTGCTGTGCCAGTAGCTTTTGCTGTGTTTGGAAGAGGGCGGGTTGGGGGGAGCCATGCTGTGTGTGCCGGTCTTTTCAAGGCAATAACAAGAAGCTGCCGTGAGAACGGCGTGTGCGGCTGCCTTTGTAACTGCATGGGAACTTTTCACGTGGATGTTTCTCCAGATTCATGCAGAAATGTAAATGGAGATGTGAATGTACTATTTTTTAACCATTTATGAAATTAAGTTATTAACAACAAACATAACAAAAATGAATTACCTTAATGCGACATATAATCCTAGAAATAGGCTTGTTTATAAACCTTTAAATACATTATAGAAATCAATGATGATATGCATAGCTATCTTTTGATTAATAAAAGCTTTCTTAAAGTCCCATACACTTGGACCATGGCAGCTAATTTTGTAATTTAAGCATTCGTATGAACTACCTATGGACGAATATTAAACTACTTGACAAGACTCTCAGAGTGCCGCCTTTGCTTTCCAGATGAGTCCTGCAAGAACGTAGCCCCGAGATGAATGCCCCTTTCTGCTCAGTGAAAGCACTGGGGTGTCTTTTCGTGTGCGTCCCAACGTAGATGCTTGCCCATCGAGAGTTGGTCTTAAGTATTCCCTTTGTTGCCAGTTACCTTTCAGAATGTTTTGTTCTCTATTTTTAGAGTCCCGGGTATTATGTCATCCTCCCAGCAGTCCGCTGTTAGATACCATTCTCTCTCCATTGAATGAGAGTATACAGTGGAGCATGCTATTAAGCCCTCCAAGCTCATCTGCACTTTGTAGCCACCTAGCAGTGCCACGTGGATCTGAATTTGAGTACCAGCAAAAAGATAAACCTTTCTGAGTTTCTGTTCTAGACTCTTGAACAAAATGAGGACCTTCATTCACCATGCCCGCCTCACAGAATTGTAGCAAACATCAAGAGAAAATATGAGGGGCTTCAAAAAGCTTATGGAAGTCCATTATCTTAATTCATTTCTCAAACTTTGAAGCCCCTCATGTGTAAAACACCTTACAGGTGTCTCAACTGGGACTTGGGGGGGTGTGTGTGTGATTGCTTTCCCTTTCAATGAAGGCCAAACCAGTCCTTTCATTCGCGTGAGAGGCATTAAGTATTCTCATAGGAATGAGAATAGGAAACCTTTCCTTGCCAAGCACCAAATACAAAGCTTTCTCTGAATGGGACTTAAACCAGAGGAAAACATCCATTGGTGGTCTTGTCTGCCAACCCCAAGGAAACCAGCCCCTACCCCAGGACTTGACAGTGAAATCTTCCGAGCAGTGTAGCATGAGGCTCTTACTGGGGATACTTCATCCTCCTTCCTGACTGTTCCTGCATATCTTGATTGGTGTAAAAGGAACTCTTATTCAGACCAATGGCTTCTGGTGACTAAAAAACTCGCCGACATCAAGTCGATTCCAACTCAGCATCTGTCCGTAGGACAGGGCCGAACTGCCCATGTGGGTCTCCAAGACTAAGTCTTTCACTTGTGCAACAGCTGGTGGGTCTGAACTGCTGACTTTGCGGTTACCATAAAACATAACCCACTGACAAGAGGAAAGTAAAAGGAAATAGAGGAAAGAACGAGGAGGCAAAGGGCATTTATAAAGGTCTAAATACAGGTAGGTACATATGTAAATATATATGATGATGGGGAAATAGGTCTATGTGCATATATTTATAGGTTTAGTATTAAGGTAGTAGATGGAAATTGGGCCTCCGCACAAGTACTCCCTCAATGCAAGAATACTTTGTTCTATTAAACTGGCATTCTATGATGCTCACCTTCCCGATATGATCGCTGAAGACAAAGCAGGTGCATAAGCAAATGTGAAGAAAGCTGGTGGAGCCCAGCTATCAAAAGATACAGCATCTAGGGTCTTAAAGACTTGAAGGTAAGCAAGCGGCCATCTAGCTCAGAAGCAACAAAGCTCACATGGAAGAAGCAGACCAGCCTGTGTGATCACAAGGTGCTGAAAGGATCAGTTATTAGGCATCAAAGAACAAAAAATCAAATCGCGAATGAGGGGGGCATGCAGATGGGGGCCCAAGACCCATCTGTAGGCAACTGGACATCCCCTTACAGAAGGGTCACAGGGAGGAGATGAGCCAGTGAAGGTGCAGTGTAGCAATGATGAAACATACAACTTTCCTCTAGTTCTTAAATGCTCCCTGCCACCCCACTATCATGACCCCATTTCTACCTTACAAATCTGGCTAGACCAGAGGATGTACACTGGTACAGATAGGAACAGGAAACAGGGAATCCAGGACAGATCCCTTCAGGACCAGTGCTGAGAGTGGGGATACCGGGAAGGTGAGGGAGAAAGGGGGAATCGATCACAATGATCTACATGTAACCTCCTCCCTGGGGGATGGACAACAGAAAAGTGGGTGAAGGGAGACGTCGGACAGTGCAAGATATGACAATAATTTATAAATCATCAAGGGTTCATGAGGGAAGGGGGAGGTGGGAGGGAGGGAGGAAAAAGCTGATACCAAGGACTCAAGCAGAAAGCAAATGTTTTGAGGATGATGATGGCAACAAATGTGCTTGACATGATGTATATATGGATTGTGATAGAGGTGTACGAGCCCCCAATAAAATGATTTTTAAAAAAAAGCATAACCCATTATACCACCAAAGCTTCTTGGTACCGAGGGCTAAAACAATAGCCAAAGATTATTTTCTCAGTTTCTGCTTGCTAAGGTACACAGCAAAACAGATATTGTGCATAAAATGGAGAAAATCCTACAAATGGAGTTGCATCTGGGCTCCACAAACAGTGTAAGGATTTCAAAAGAAAACTAGTGAATCTGTTTTTCCAAGGGAATACCTTGATTGGTACTAAGTAGCATTTTAAAATGCACATATTTTTTCATTGACTGGATGCTTTTTATGCTCATCTTTTAAGAACAACTGCCCTCTTTAATTTCACCTAATTGGCCTAAACAGAGCAACAGTGTAAATTTAAGAGGCTTATACGCTTTTCAAGTGTTCTGTTCCTAGAGGGGATTTAGGATATTAACTGCCTGGGTTCTAGGTTGCTGTCAATTTTGCTTAAGGAAGGGCTCTCAAAATAGTTTTGTCACCTAGCAATAAGTCACAGTTTAAACTCAAAACACTTAAAATGACTTGTATATAGATGTGTGTTTGTGTTTTGCTGTAACTGAACCATTTAGCAAGGAGGTTGCAGCAAAGCTAAAGTCAAAGGCAATCAGCTTCAGGAACGAACTCTCGATATGTAAGCAGCCACCAGGGTGCTGCCAGAGTTCTCTGGCCTGATGTTCTTCCAGGCACTTGATTGCAGACATACCTCAAGAGCTATTGGAGGTTTGGTTCCAGGTCACTGCCATGAAACGAGTCACAACGTTTTTTGGTTTCCCATTACCAAAAACCAAACTCACTGCCATTGAATCTATTCTGATTCATAGTCACCCCCCTTGACAGTGCAAAACGGCCCCCAGTGAGTTTCTGAGACTAAATCTTTCTGGGAGTGGAAAACCCCATTTTTCTCCCTCAGTTTCAAACAAAACTTCAATGCCTGTGAGTCGATGCTGACTCATAGCAATCCTGTAGAACACAGGATAGACCTGCCCGTGTGAGTTTCCAAGACTAATTCTTTTTTTTTTTTTAATCATTTTATTAGGGGCTCTTACAACTCATAACCACAATCCATACATCCATCGTGTCAAGCACATTTGTACATTTGTTGCCATCATCATCCTCAAAACATTTGCTTTCCCCTTGAGCCCTTGGTATCAGCTCCTCATTTTTACCCCTCCCTCATCCAAGACTAATTCTTTAATTAGTTGTAGAAAGCCCTTTCTCCTGAAGAGCAGCTGGTGGTTTTGAACTTCAGACCTTGCCGTTAGCAGCCCATAACCACTACACCACCAGGGCTTCTCTTTGGTTTCTCAGTGCATATGAAAGTTACGTTAGTTATGCTAACCTGATAGTCTTACCAAGTGTGTGACTGTATTATGAAAAAGTTTGAAGTAATTGTGAGAATGACCAAAATGTGACAGACTGAACACATGCTGTTGGAAAAAAACTGGTCCTGATATTCAGGTCGTTAAAAAGTGCAGTCTGGTACTAGAACTGACTGTGATTGCACAACTCATTTTAAAGGAGATTTAACCAAGGAGGGAGGAGGGATTGTTCTAAAATTGATATGGTAATGATTGTACAATTCTCCTTGATATGATTGGATGATTGAACTATTGAAGTGTATGCTATGTAATTTATGTGCCAATAAAAACACTTTTTAAAAAAGTGCCATCTGTAAAGTGCAGTACACCTTTCTCACCATTCATGTATATGGTATCTTTTGAATAAATCTGTGCACTTATGAAACTAAATGCTCAGTTATTTTTTAAAAGGCCAACATCTTCAGCTTTAATACCATTATGCTAGGCTTTAAAACCATTTATCAAACAGTCCCAGATGTCTTGGGGAGTACTGATCCTTTGTAAGTGGCAAGCATCCGGGAACTTGTGCATCGGAGGACAAGTCGAAGCAGGAAATGGCACCTCAAATTAGCTTTTGTGGACAGTGACCTCCATAGCTAGATCTCTTAGGTTCCTTGGCAGACTGACTTAGAAATAATGACACTCGGTAAGAAAAGGACATAGCAACTAGGCTAAGTATGAGAACATAGAGGGGAAGTGTTACTATCTAAATAGCCCATTGTGATGGCTGCATGAAACGGAGTATCGCTCCAGCACTGTCTTCTCTGGTAGGTGCCCTCCAGTGGGTTCCACCTCACAGCCACCCCCTATGTGCAACAGAACAAAACACTGCATATCAGTAGCATATCCAGAGCCAAGTTTGCCATCTTTGCTCCTAAAGAGCATTCGGGCTGTACTTCTTTAAAGACAGACTTATTTGTTCTCCTGGCAATCCACTGTACTTTCAAGATTGTTTACCAACACCGTAATTGTTATTCTTCAGTATCAAGTCTTATTCTTAATTCTTCCATCTTCCTTACTCATTGTCCAACTTTCACATAGATATGAGGTGATTGAAAATACCATGGCTTGCGTTAAGCTCACTTTAGTTCTCAAAACCTTTGCTGGTAAACACTTAAAGAGGTCTTGTGCAGCAGATTTTTGCAGCAATACATCATTTGATTTCCCGACTGCTGCCTCCATTAGCATTGATTGGAGGTCCAACTAAACTTAAATCCTTGGACAACTTCAATTTTTTCTATTTATCATAATGTTGTCTATTTTTCCAGTTGTAGGGATTTGGATTTTCTTTACAGGAGTTGCAATCTATACTGAAGGCTGCATGCAGTCTTCGATCTTCATCAGCAAGTATTTCAAGTCCTTTCAGCAAGCAGACTTATGTCATATGGTTATTATAAGACTTCCTCCAATCTTAATGTCTTTTTCTTCATATAATCCAGTGAAATAGTTAAGGTTTAGTGTGCCAACCTGGCTGATAAACACATGTAGG